ATAAAAGCTTTGCTTTTTGTTTTATTGTCCGTAACTGATTAGAAACACGACGTAAATATTATCACGAGTGTCGGTACCAAAAATGTCACGCGTTGTAGGGAAGGGGGCTGAATTGACATAGTTCAGGCGCTGCATGTGACTCTACAATGCAATTGGCCTGCTATGCGTTGGCCCCTGAGATACCACTTAAGCAAAGAGCACCCTAAACATCTATAAAAGGGCGCGGCTAAAGTTGTATATCCCTCAACAACCAAATTTTGTTTGTCCCCCTTTTAGTAGTCTACTTTCATCCATTGTATTCCACTTCACACTTCTCATTTCACTCTACTGAAGGGTAGCAATGGACCCGAATATGAAATTTATTTTTATAATCTTCAACCCCCCTTCCAACTTCAATTGCAGTCTCATCACTAGAGTGTTCACACAAATACCAAGTTCTTGGGAGCCAAATAGCAGCCAATGGGTTGCATGATGTTCGAGAAGATCTCGTTATTTCAATGAGATGTTCGAGAAGGCCTTGCTACATCAATTATTTTGGAGTTCGAAACGATCATCTCTGTATTCTCATTAGACACGTAATTAAGTGTCTAAAAAATTTAATATGTAGGGGGGAGGAATTATTGTTTGGGCCAAGGGCAATAGCACAAACAAGAGAAAGGCAAAGGTTTATCGTATCTCAACTAGTTCCTATATCACTGTATAACAGGATGTAAAATCACTAGTTGTAATAACAATAGCTGTAACATATTGTAATACACACCTAACAGGTTGTAACTCATTCTGTACTCTTCATTATGACTATTTGTTGCATTATAAAACTTACATTGAACATGGGTAAGTAGTTGTCCCCTAGTACTATCATATTTATCGGCGAAACAATTACCAACATGTGGTCATGTGATACTATTAGGACACCATAATGCGTTTTAATAGTAACATATACCTATTCAAGTGCCTCTGTTTGCCAATTGTATTACTCTTCTTAATACAATTTTAACCCACTTGTCTAAATTTGAACGGAGTGAAACATCGAAGGTGCCTGTACAACCACATGAATAAATTGTAACATATTAAAGGTTTATTCGGTCTCTTGACAACCATATTAAAGGCCGAACCCTCTACTATTACCACAAGGATCGAATTGAACCATTATTTCATCCACACACTATACATTTGACCAAACGTTGAGTCTATTCTCTCGTTAATAGGTGGTTGCCATGCCTTCATCTACTCACCCAGGAGTACTATCCTATGGAGAACAGCATGAAATGACATAACAAGCAGTTGTTCAAGTTAGCAAAAGAAACCATTTACTATGCATGGTCTGAAACAGGTGCTCCGTTAAAAATTTCTATCTCTTTGGTATCTCCCCTCCAATACTTTATCAGTAGATCTTTTCTTTCATCCAACCAAAAAGCAGTAGGTATTAGCATAGTCATGCAACCCACAAACGAAGGATCTCATACAAGCTCACCATCAAAAAAGACGAAAAGTATTGTTGGGTCCAAGAAATGCCCTAAGCAAGTACAAAACACCAGACGGGAGGATTTTATATGGTACTAAACGCGAATTCAGGAATGCTCCACTTAACACCAACAACTCTCTGGGATTAGCTGGCCACATTTTTAAAAATAGCGTTAACGATCATCTACCATCTGGTTATTTCGTTATGGACCATAAACCTATATGGGAGCCTGTTCGTGAGCGAAAAATAGAATTAGAGGTATTTTGTCACTAGCATAGCCTCCGCGTCCCGATAACAAGGTCAACGGACTTGTTATAGGACCACAAACCAATGATGCAAGCGTATTACATAGACTACAGCGAGAAGTTATGCAGATGGAGCGTAGGCTTCACAGGTTCCACCAAATTCAGGCCGCAAAAAGACATGGTATTGGAAAAGAATTTGATGTTCAGCACATTTTAGCAGATCCCATGCTTATATCTGACCCGGGCCTATCTGACTTTACTGAATCAAGCGACGATGACTTTCAAAGGTACATACTCGATTGTCTAATGCATGATGGTGTTCCCAGGTGTTGTATGGGATACGACTAATAACAAGGGATGTAGTCCAATGTTTGTCAGGGTAGCGATAAAACTATACTCATTATAATCTCTATTCAAACAAATTGCTTACCCCATTTGGATATTAATCATGCCTGTTAAACATTCGTAACTAGTTGTAACGTAACAGTAACATATACCTAACTGGTTGTAACCCATTGTGTACTGTTCGTTCTTTTTTTTTTTTTGTTGCATTGTAAAACTTCATTTTAACGTTACAAATTAGTTCTCCAAAGAATCATTTTCTTATGCGCAACTATTACCAACATGTGCTCGTGACCTGGCTTGACCATAATTGAATTAACCTAAAAACTTGTAATACCAATTGATGTGCCTGTGATACATCATGTCAATGGTGTGCTAAATTCGTCAAGCGATGCAAAACAAATGGTCTCAATGATAATGTTTTTATAAAAATACCCCAATAATAATTCGAATTTAGCATCGTAACAAAATGAAGATAATTTGTACTTTAGATTGTCTTATCTGATACATCTTACCTTTGGCGGTGCGATCTATGCCAATAAATATGTTATTAGGGTATGCAATTGAATGTAGTAAAATGTATATATATCACGACAGCCATTCAACTGTTATGGTAGATTTAGTGAAAAATATCTGAACACCAAAAAAACACGTTCAATTCTATTGTAAAATTATTACTTCAATTTTCTACCAACTTTATAATTTCCTAACAATTTTATACAACCCAATACAAACTTTTAATGACTACTAACACTAGATGCAATTACAATTGTAATCCACTTGTCTAAGTTTGAAAAGAGTGAAACATCAATGGTGCCTGTACAACCTCCTCAATAAGTTGTAACAGCTTATTAACTGCTTGTAACGTATATATGCAGCATTCCCAAGTTGGGACAACCACTTAATGTCTTGTTTAAAAATTATAGGTACACATCATTCATCAACCTCATTCTCGGGGGAGGCGATGTCAACGCGTAGTTGCAATTTTTGGGTGTTATTTCTTCTCTGAAATGCGTAACGATGGCAAATCAGCTAATATTATTAATGAAACATACGGTTAATGATATACGATATTCAAGTATCCAATTAACAACATTACATAAATATGTGCTCTAACGATAAAAATTTATCACTTAGGGTGATGGTGAAAATACATGATATGCATCAATATCACAGTGTATTGAAATTGCCGCACGCTCCTCCTATATTATATAATATAAGTATTCGACTGTCAACAAATCATTACCAGTGCCTATATTGCTCACTTACAAAGTTAAATTGGACTAGACATTATAACAAAATGATATATCAGACCATTAAAATATCTCTGACGGAGTTATACTTGAAAAAAATAGAAAATTTGGGATGCATTCATTCTATAGGGACACTTCCAGGAGGCCCCTGATTAGCCAAACAGTGGACTTTCGAATATTATAAAACAATATGTTATTAAAACGATCATACATTAACTACATAATATGCATGATTTGACAGCGTTCGGGTGCCCACCATTATAATTAAAGAAAAAAAGTAGCTCTACTATACGAACAAGAAAGTCTTTATTTTATCTACTAAATGTATGCATACCGTTTCACTTTCATCGATTTCGGGGGCAACAGCCTTTGGGGGGGCATTCACTGTCTGGCTCATTGAATGCATCTACGAGTTTTGTATGGGCCAAATAATTGTATAAGACAAACAAAATAGGTATATCAGGAGGGATGACGGCCGTAACAACATTATCACACAATGAAACATCAATGTAACTATTTATGCTGTTAGAAACATCCAAATAAAAGCAAGAGTCATATCCATTTTATACTAACCGAAACAGAGTCAGTAGATGAACGGCAACCCATAAACATGTGTTCCTCAAATGAAATCGATGTTGGCTCCGATTCTGAGACCTATAGTATTGACATGACAATAATATTATTTCATAATGAATGGTATCTAAACTTTAGTTAATAGTATAACGATAACATTGTTTTAGCATAAATGTTCCCTAAATACCAAAATTGAATCCATACCGTAGTCTGTGTAGTCCTTAACAATCTAGATTTTCTTTTTACTCTGTTAAATTTATCGACCCAACTTCACATCACTCTACTTTTCTTCCCACCGGCTCGTTTTTTAATGCCTCTTGTGACTACTGCCTCTCCCATTTCATTTACAATTTCAATTTTATCCCGTTCCTCCATATTCAGATTTTTTTACTTTTGCAAAGGTTGCTCTTCGCTTTCTGAGAGGAGGAGCTCAACTCTTTTTGCCAAATCGGATATGACAGTGATTACTACTTTGTTGGTGTCCTCCGACATTGTTGCTTGATTTACGACCTTAATCATGGCTGGAGAGAGCTCCCGATAACGAGTTGAAATGATTACTTTTGGATCAGCCACAATTTCCCGTCCTCGCCGGTCAAAACAGTCTCCAGTCCGAGCTCTTTTTGTCCATCGCCTCTTAACATATTCAGGAGGAATTATTTTCATGCCCACGGTATCAAACACCTTCAACACGTGCCCACACAAAATTCCTTCATTCTCGTATTTTTTGCAACTACAACGTACACTTAGATCATTCCGATTGAATACCACTATTCTTTCAGGTCTTCCATCATACCTCATGACCGCGAACTTCACAAACATCCCTGCATCTTGTTGTCTCAATATAACCATAGCTGTTGACTTGCCACATTCATTTTGGAATGCAACAAATACGGTTGGTGAATACGTCTCTGATGCATACACAAGCATAGATGTTTGTCTTAACCCTACTATGGGGAGTTTTTACCTCATTTCATATTCTGCGATCAGTTCATTATGTATCTTTTCATCAACCACCCGATTGAAATGTCTAAAGAACTGCACAAGGTCATGATCCAGTTTCAAATGATTTTTAATTGCTGCATTTAGGCTTTTGCTAAGTTGGGTGCTTCGCATTCCCATAGTCTATCTTTCTTTCATTAAGCACCTTGCCCATTTATCACGAATTCGATACAACCCGGAGAACCATTCATTATTTTCAAGATTGTGTTTCTTCACCATCGCCTCCCACACCCTATTGAATTGTTCTACTTCTTCAAATTCATACATGCAGGCACCAAACATGTATAGAAGATCACTATTTTTCTTGTAGTGATTGCCAAGATGTTTCATAAAATTATACTTTATGTGAAACGTACATAGACCGTGAAATGTTTCAGGCATGACAATTGAAAGAGCGGCTACCATGGCGTGATCTTGATCGGTTAGTATGGTACTTGGACGCTTTCCGCACATTGATTCTAGAAATGTACCAAATACCCATTTGAAAGAATCTATAGTCTCATCATACATAAGGGCAGCACCGAATATCACAATTTGTCTATGTTGGTTAAAACTCACAAACACTCCAAGTGGCCGGTATTCTTTATTTGTTTTGTAACTTGTGTCGAATGTGACTACGTCTCCAAAAAAGTTGTAGTCAATTAACATTCCTGCATTAGCCCAAAAGATATTCGTTATCTGCTCTTCACAGTCCAGCTGTACGGTATGAAAAAATGATGGATTCTCGAGTGTTTGCTCTTGAAAATAATTCAGCTTGCTACCTGCTTCTCTATATTTCACACTCATTTCCCGTCGAGTACGAAGATATCGTTTCAGGTCTTCCCGAGTATATCACACATTTTCCATCCTACCTGCCTCCTTTCCCATAAGCTCATGACTCTGTTTCAATGAAAGCCCAGCATCCTCGCTTATTTCAGCTTGGAATCCTTGAGCCTCACTTATTTTTCTTTGTGATGGCATCATGTGCGAACATTGAACAATGTGCAACTCATGGTTATGTTCTAAGACAAGGTCATGCACACGGTACTTCATTGTCCCTCTAAGCAACACGATAACCATTTTAGCTCCACACCCCGTTTTTGTCGGCGTTCGTGTCCTCTTTGGCATCACATCACCTTTGTACTTGCATTTTACACCTTCTTTGCAACAACTATATCTCCTAGATGTGGTCACACCGTCTTTGTCTTTATTTAGATAGTCTTTGCGTACACTAAAATCCATTTTAAATGCATATTTGTTGTAAAACTTGTACGCATCATCTTCACTGTTGAACTCCATTCCTAATTCAGGGGTCCCATCTTTTGCCAATTTGCTACAATCCATTACTTCTGCTCCGACCAATTATGCATCAAACACCATAATTTGTAACAGTTCATGAATAGTATGTACATAAACGACAACATAAATGTATATTACCATTCATAATGTGTTATGTTACACACATTACTCGTATACCAAATCCTATTATTACGCTCATCGATATGATTAATGTTGTACAAATACTCGTATACCAAATCCTATTATACTCTAAGACAACGGCATTATGTATGTACAAATACAACTCCGTGTACAATAAGTTATACGTACTGTAATGTGTTGGTCACATGATGTAAGTATATTTTAACTGTATGTACATCCACTCGGGTGATTATATTTAGGTTCTAGGTACTTTGTTTCACTGGATCTTATGTCATTCGTCAATGACAACCGTCTAAGCCAACTCCGCATTTTCTACTATTTCTATATTTTGAGGGCCAAACAAGCATTTTCTACTCATTGTAATATATTTATTATATCATATAATTTACTTACAACACCAGGTACACCCATTTATTATTCACATAGGTCGGTCTTTTCCTCTACTTCACCTCATTCAACTCTGTACCTCCATTTTATACACACTGCATGGTCAGGAGAGAGGGGCAAACTAAGATTGTGTCATGAATATGGACCAACTACTGGATGCACAATGATTCATATCAATTGTAATACAGTACCTATAACCTGTAACTAATTTACAACAGGATGTACATTCATTCACTTGTTAAATGTGACTTATTTTTCTCATCTTTCCCTAATTCCGCTTTGCTTGAATACATACCCCTGGGTCTTCCGATAACTACTATCCCATTATAATCCATTACTGAAAAGCTGAATGCTCACACACACACACAGAAATATCATACAACTTTACTATTCTTCTATCATCTTCATATGATGTCTTTAGTGAATCTAATTTCATCCTTCATTTAACAGATGTGCATTTGGGTGACAAATGATTGGCCACAGTTAGTTACATGGTTCAGTCACGTTACCTTGGTCTGCTAATACGCTCTATGTTTCACCAAACTCAGAGAGCGCAGCTGCTTCTGCTATTAAGTTGAAGGACAAAATCTGGTGTTTTATGAGATGCTAAATTTCCTCTGTTTGCTTCTACCTTGCCGCCTGCCTTGTAAGCATTTGAAATGGATAGAACATTTGCTGACCCAGTCACCGAAGTCTCTTCTCAGTTTCTCGGTAACACTCTCGGACGGAAACTGAGAAAAGAGTTTTCTGAGAAAAGAAAACTGAGATAAGACTTTTCTGTCAACTCCCTATCTTCAGACGGAGTACGCCAAGACTCTTCCCCCAATTTTGTTTTCTGCAGCTAATTCAAAATTTCAACTTGCTTTTCAAAATTTCAACTCTATCGTTTGCTCCGTCTGATTCCGTTTGGAAGTCAAAAATTTTTTATTTCGAACAGCGTCGTTTTTACCCTTCTTAAGCCTTCCTGACGTGGATCATTTTTCTCCCCATGTTTTTACCTGTGAGAGGACCGTTCAGGAGCAGTCGGCTTGATGACTGCTCCTGCCCCTAATCCGAGGACTCGGGGCACGGACGGTTGCAGGTGCAACCGTCCCTGCCAATTTTAGTCATTATCAACTGCGCGTAACTTTCTTTGTACATCGTGTAACTTTTTTTTCACAGGATGTATTTTCACAACAGATAGTGGTGGGGCCCACACTTGGCGCGGAAATCGAGTTACATGGTGTAATCTCAGCCGCACAAAATTTTGAGGGCCAATCTTGGCCCTTAACCTGCCCCAAATCCCTAATCCGAAATTTGCTAATATAAGATTCAAGTAGCTAACAACCAAACAACGTGCATTCAAATTGGATGCTTGGGAGAAAGACGTGTCGGATTGCAGTTATTTAAGTGTCGGCCGACATGTTGCTGTCACATTCATAAATGTGCAATTCGTTGATAATCTGGCAACACCCAAGGGGGCAATAACAGGAGGCTGGAGAGATTGGATATATAGTAGTCACAGATTTGTGACAAAAATGGGCGCTGGACACGAGACCTCTTTTTCACTACCCTTCAAACCAATGGTTCTTTTCTATGATGTCCATAGTGACTAAGAGACAACTGTTGATTAATTTTGAAGACTTGGGATGTGAACACTTCTATAGTCTTCACGTGAACCCTTATGGAATTAAATTATGCCGTAGCAGTGGGTGAGATACTTTAATGTCAAATTCTTAATACCAAATATATACATGTCCAAACACTTTTTTGAGAACTTTTTTCCAAAGCTAAATTAAACAAGTTAAATATCCATTCCAAATGCATTCACTATATATATTGCAAACCAGTTACCTCTCTTAGTTGGACTGATGAACTAATAGACCGCAATAGTATATATTAAACTAATCCGATTCTTGATTTGCCTACTTTTTTATTGCAATAAAGTGATTCCAATCTAGTTATCAGGATATGGTGTTGTGTATCTTTTTGCTCTTAAATCTAATTCTTCATTAAAAAAATTAAAAAAAAACTCCTTTGATTCTTTTATGATAAAATTTGTTAATTAGAAATTCCTAATTTCATATGTATTTTCATATTTTTTTTATCCACACAAAATTTTAAAATTTAACCAACAATATGAATCAATATAATTTTATTATCTCTCTTCTTTTTCTTTTGTTTTCTTTTTTTTTTTTGAACGAATTTGATTTTTAATTCAATAGATTGGCCATTTGTATGTGTGTGTGTCATTTTATTGGACCATATAATAATAAAAATTAGGGTTAAAAACCAAAAAACCCTCTATAATGTACCTAATACACAGAAAAGTCCCTCTGTGGTTTCAAAACATACAAAACGACACCTCATGTTTTGAACTAAATTGTAAACTAACAGAATTCGTTAAACTTAACGAAAATGACAATTTCGGCTATTAAATTTACCAGATTCAGCTAAATTTATCATTAAATTTACCGGATTCCGTTAAGTTTAACAAATTCTATTAGTTTACAATTTAATTCAAAATATGAGGTATCGTTTTATATATTTTAAAACCATGAAGAGCTTTTCTATGTATTAAGTATACCACAAAAAGCTTTTTTTATTTTTAACCGTAAAAGTAATATATCAATTATTTAAAATTTTTTGTATAACATCATTGGCTGATAATTGCTAGCTCAATAATTAAACCAATGATAAAAATAAAACTTTTCTGGTTTAACAAATAATGTTGGGTTACAAAATCTTTGAAAATTTGTCAATTAACTATTGGAATGTTAGAATTCTTTTTGACTGATATAAAATTCATGAACATATTTGCCAATCATCAATTATACCTTAATTTGTTTGTATTGGCAACCTTCAGGCTGTAGTTAATAGTGCTCCCCATGCTTAAAATAGCTAGGCTATTTTACAATTTTTCTAGCCAAGATTAAAATATATAATGGTGTGAGACTTTTTTCAGCAGCTTAACAAGAGAAAACCTACAACTTATCAACTGTTTTTTCTTCTTTCTACAATTTACATTAGCTAAAAAGGGTACTTCGAAAAAATGCAGCACATAATGGTGCTTGCCGATTCACAACTGCTTAGGTACTTCATGCTTTAACTTGAGGGTTTTCTTGTTCTTGATTTTCTATGGAACTATTAGCCTTTGCTCCGGAATATGCACTCCCTGGAACCTCAACTAAAAGTTCCTTCTCTTCTATACCATCCCAAGCTTCGACCTGTTGATGTTTCTGAAACTACAAATAAAGATACATAATGAGATACTCAGAAACATGATAAAAAGCCAATCCTTAGAAACGTAATTTCCTAAAGGAAACCTCTAGATTGCTGTCAATTGCGTCATGCATTTGAGGACCATCCAATTTCTTCATTGCAGCCTCAAGTTCTCTCTTTGCATCTGCTCTTGTTATACGTCGTTCAGAACATTGTGCAGCAGTAACATCTGCATGGCAAGCAATGCAAAGGGTCCGCATATTCTCTAGTCTGCATTCACCTGTACAAAACCATGAAGTGCAACTTATATTTAAGAAACTGGAACATCTTTCTTTCAAGATCCAGAGACGATGATGTTCATAAGCAATAATGTTCAGAAATTTGATGATCAAGTACCTCCTCCTTGATATACAGGTACAAGATGGTCTGCATGCCACGCATTGCCCTCCGTGGGATCTTGAATAAGCTTGTCAAATCTGCCGAGAAAAATTGAGATATTATCACCAAAGAATGCAACTGCAGTACTAAATCAGCACAACGAATTGTACACAACGAATAAGAAAGGGGTCAATGTAATGCTAAGTTGCCTCTTTTTGAGGATTGTATACTTCATATGTAACTTGAGGACTTCCACTTTTTTTTTGTTAATTTCTGCTATTTGTTTCTAAAACACCTTCCCATCCCCATTTTGAGATGCATCTTAGGTATAGGAAATTGTAATATCTTCCGCATGATAGACAGTCCCAAGTTTTTTGGCTGAGTACAAAATAGCATTACTAGTCAGATAATATGACTCAACAGATATGTTCCCGCTGCTAAGTCTATACACTGGTGCTGTAATGATTTTCAAATAGCTTTTGATGGATTAACACACAACCCCCCGCAACCCCTGGCCCCCAGAGAGAACCAAAAGTAAAACTCAAACTATCAGAAAAGTTAGTCTGACAAGCTACATATAGCGTTTAAGCATTAGAAATTGACAGGCATAATTATCTGATCATCATGTTCTACAAGACTTAACTGCAAAGAGTTTAGAAGCACATGTAAGAGAAAATCACACCTATAATCTACTTTAAAAAATTGGTTCAAAATAACTTGCATAGTAACTCACAGCTTTTTGCACTTTGCTAACTTTGGAGCAGCTACTCTTATATACTGTTGTCGATTCTCATGTGATAGAGGCTTAATTTTCTCCACAAGTCCATGGCAGTCTAGTTGACACATTGTGCAAATGCCACGTTCGACTTGGAAAAGTGCCTACAGAAAATTTCTTAGTGAGACACCACCAAAAGCTGGCTATTACGTGGCAATCAGACAGAGTTCAGACTAACCTGTCTAAGGTATTTCGTTTTGGTTCTCGAGCTATATTCTACATAGCATTCTAGGTTACAGAAAAGATCCTCGAAATATTCAGGCCTCTTAGCATTCTCATTCCTAAACAACAAGAACTTCGATGAGTGCATCAGAAGCCTTTCTTGAGAAGGGCCAGTAGTCACAAAACTTACATGCAAGGACTTTGGCAGAACTTGCAGAGTGGTTTGTCCTCAGTAGACCACCCTTGTGTGTAGACTTTCTCCTTTTTGGTGCCGCCAATACATAGATGGACCTTTCTCAAAACTGCATCTGATGGTAAGCGGCTGGTTATCTCATCTAAAGGTGTAATACGTCTGGTACTTCCACATTTGAGCAGTCCCTAACAAAGATAACCAGTTTGTTAATTGAAAAATCCATCAAAATTGAAGTCCAAAATAATACAGACCAGAGTCGTAAACCACATTCATCACAAATGTACCCCTTTATCATGGTTGAGGGATTCCATCAGATAGCACAGTTCAGTGGACAAGGGCAACTGCAAAGGCTTCACCAGCAATTTCCTACGTTCTATAGGCCTCAACTGGTTCCATTGCTTCATAAACATTAAAACTGCAGATCGGTACCTATGATCATCTTGTATACAATTTTTTCCCTGTATCATAACATCCTCATGAAGGTCTTCTGACTCAAGTTCTTCAGGCCTGAAACTCAAAAAAAGTGGTCGTGGCCTTGAATCCATTCCAGGTATGCAAGAGTATAAGTGGATCCTTCCAGTATATTGGCTCACCTGAAAGAGGACAAAAGGAAATCAAAGGAGCTTTGTACAAAGTTTAGTAGAAAACTAAGAGAACAAACTATTTATGCCATCCTTAATTTGAAAAATCATACTCTGCTTCACTGCTACCAAACAACAAAAAGAGCTCTATGGATAAATCCAGTTGATAAAACTACTACAAATTCATTTAAATGAAAAAATGAGAAATAACCGCAACAAGTTCAAATTGATATCTAGCTCTTGCAAGGACAGGAAGCCATTCACACTCCACACTTGCCTCATTTGTTCTTTTGGTTGTGGACAATAAATAGTGTAATTTCAAAAGCAACGTTCTTCAGATTGAGGGAAGAGTATATGACCTGGAAATTAGGTTTCAGTTCCAAGTGGAGTTGCCTAGATCACACAACGAAATTGAGGATATAGCACACTACCTATGATGGGCTGTGGTCAGGATTCCTTCAAACATTTAGAGGAATTATGTCGGAACGTGAACTTTTGCTATCATTTCAAATTGAAAAAAAAAATCCTTTTCTGCATGTGTAGAAAAGCTCTTCAAAGATGGAGAATGCAACAAACTTGCTCACTTTTACAATTTACGCGTAACCAAATAAGCAAACATTAGATGAAAAACATTTTCTATTTAGTATTTATTTTTGACTTTGAAATGCCAATAGTAGCACTCTAAGTTGTTGATGATCTATATTGGATCATGTGATCCAATTCAAAAGATTTTGGAGTTCAGTGTTCTTGTAAATAGGTTCTAAGTTGCATGATATTGTCAGAGAAAGAAAGAAAAGCAGTTGGCTGCATGCGGAAACGAATATGGAGGTAATCAGGATTTTCTGCATATATGCCCAACAAAATTTGATGCGGGTTTGTATTAGGTGGCATCCATGCACAAATAACCACTGCATTTGCGGTTGTAGACCATAAGATGTTTGAGAGAAGGCTCAAGTATATGCTTTGGGATTAAACAGATTAAGTATGGCATATTCTCAAACAGAACCAATGGAAAACTAGAAAAAAGTTAAACATCCTATCAAGCATATATAAGCAGTTAACTTCAATCAGTGACGAAGAAAAACAAAAATGTCTGTCAGGATTACCTCAAAGCGCAGATACTCTACTTGTACAGAGCTTGTTGAAGCAGCCTCAATTGGCTCAGAGGCATTGCTGTTTAATTCTACCTCACTTTGTGGGTGCACCTGAATTCCTAAACTTGTAAATCCTAAACAGATTCCCAAATATGGCCCAAAAAGAATAAACAGCAGACAAAGCGACTGTACCTTCTCATTTTTTTGGGTTGCTTCACTATCATCTAAATTATGTGAAGAAATTGTTCCAGCAGTTTCACTGATAGCGACTGAAAATGCATTGCAGCCCAGGGTTGGACTAGCCTGGTTTGGTCATTTCATGCGAACTCTCAGCAGATTCGCAGATGAAAGCAAAGAAGCAGAATGCTAGCACCAAGAGAAGTCAAATAGAGAAAGGCAATGCAACAAATAATCCATACCTCTGATGGAAGGCTTACCACTTCAGAAGATACAATACCAATTCCATTCTCCCCACTACTCCCTCTGTTTGCCACTTTATAAGATTCGCAATATTGATCAGAAGGCCATGAACCTGGTATATGACAGTAAATCTGGGGTATCATGACATTTTTAGCAGAAACCACATTGTCTCCTTCCCTCTGTATAACTGGATCACCATTTCTCTTATCAGTTATTCCAGTTGTTTCAATATTGGAAATCATTTCAACCTGTGTAGTGCATGAAGACCCCATTATGAGTGCTGGACATGACATCAAATTCTGCAGCAACTTACCATAAACTTAAAATAAAATGTGAGCCATCACGATTTCCCAGCCAAACAAAGATGGTTCCATGGAGATCGAGTAGCATAAACATTGTAGCAAACAGATTATGATCTCTGGAGATTATAGCAAACAATGTGACATGCTGTGATCATTTTTTGAAATTAACGTTGTCATATACATCTTTACGATTCTTTGCTTTGCCCTTGAAGTCAAACTACACGTATTGCTGCAGTAGTGGAATTAAATTCATGCCAATGCCCTTTTGTGGGGTTATACAGCCAGAATACTTCTTACAGACACTAATAGAAGTAAAAAGGTGAAAATGAATGCAATGGAACGTTGACGTAACAATTGCTAAAAGATAAAATAAATTAAATCCAATCAGAAACAAGCACAAGAAAAAATATTCTATACCAAGCCTCCAGTACTTTTGCCAACAATGTTAAGCAAGAAGCAACTAAATTCACCCCACGAGGGAATACCAAAAGGCTAGCTGACTTTTGGCACCCCCCATGGAACTTAACTACAACTCACACACACCACTCACAAACGATGTGGGACTCGGGACGGGGAACAAGGGGACTAACCCACTCACTCTGTTTTTACACCTCGCCACTGGTCAATTTTCTTTTGCCAACAATGTTAAGCAAGAAGCAACTAAATTCACCCCACGAGGGAATACCAAAAGCCGCCAGTACTTACTACACCAAAATTTTAGCTCTCCAATTTAGATACCATTTGTTCAAATTCAAAAATAGCCAGGAATGCTCTCTGACTGACTTAGCTACAAAAGAAAAAGAAAAAAACTAAAAAAAAAAAATATATTTGCTAGAGAGTAGCACATAATGACTCAAAAATATTCTAGAGTTGAAAATAAGGGTTTCAGATTCTGAACGGCTAATCTAAATTCAGTTTGTTGTTCAATTACAGTAACTTAAAACATTATTACTTCATTCTAATTGTTCTCCTTATAATTGTAGTTTTCCCCCTGTTAGCCTAAGGGTGAATTGGTTTCAAGTGTTACAGCCTTCCAGATTTCAAAATATGATTGATTAACACCAGGTAAGATAAAAACATTAGAAACATAAATACCTAACTTAGAATAAATTGAGAGATCAATTCTAATAATCCTATAACCAAGGCCTAAAGTATTTTGGAGAACCCCACTATAAATTTTAAATCACGAACCAATCATGAAAAAGAGTTACCTGTAGGAAGCTAGATTTCTTAACTGATAGCCCAAAAACGTCTCTACGACTTTCAACGTCAAATGAAGAATATCCTATAATCAAACTAACAATGGGAAAATAACCTTGATTTCAGGTATTGCAGCATGTTTCCCATTCATTACAGCCGAAACTTCAAACAGACTCTTATTCAACTTTTGCCACCGAGATTCATCTGAAGTACCCTGAATACATATGGTATTAGGGAAAAATGAAAAAAAGGGCTCAGGCAAATGGTGTTAGGGAAAAAAAATCCCTACCACATTATAGGAAATAATTTAAAAATAAAAGAAAGAAAACAAAAATCACCTTTGCACAAAAAATATATATATTGACTGCTTTCGTCTGTCCAATCCTATGAGCTCTAGATTCAGCCTATGAACATACAAGAACCAAGAAATGAGACCAGTAGAATATTACTATAAAATCACCAACTCAAATAAATGGTCAAGCATCTCCAACCCCTCCAGAATAACCCTTTCCAGTAAACAAGTCACAGAAAAACAAATAATGAGAAACTAGAATGCAAAGGGAGAAGAAAGAGAAGCAGATTGGCATGCTAAAAGAAAACTGTACTGAAATAGTCAAACTGTACTGAAGCAGATTGGCATGCTGAACTAAAAGTACTTGGTAATTTGTTCATACCAATAATGGAAAAAAAGTGATTGACATGATAACAAAAAGTTTTATCACCTCTCCCCCCCCCCAAACATCATAGTGACCCAAGAATAAACACTCATAATTGAGGACACAATTTATGGAATTGCAAGGCAAGTATCCAATGACAGTATGAGAAAACATTAAATGCCGTTATTTACCCAAGAGGGTGCTTCGATGAACACCTTGAAGAGGTTTAAGTCCTTGCTGGACTTCTCGAAGTGAATTGAATATAGGTAATTCAGTTATTTCAAATGATTTTTCTGGTTTTGGTGAATTAGGAATCTTTTATCATTTGCAGTTGGTTCATTGTTGATAAAGTTATTATCCTCATGGTAATTAAAAGAATAAATCTTAGTCAAGGCAGGAAAATGTTTGCAAAGCCATGGATGATGTACTTCACTTCAAAGAGAGGCTTCTGGTTAATACAACTTCTTCAGACTGTTATAAGTCGTTTTGTAAGATGCAAGCTTGCCTTATTTACGATGCCTAAAGGTGCCTTGGACGTGATGCAAAAAGTTATTTTGGATGAATCCTGGAGTTCCTTATTCAAACTTCTTCCTTCAAGTTCAGAGGATGTTTTTACTATTTCAGCCTTCATTTACTGCCTAATTGTTAATTGCTGTCTTTTCAAATCTTTAACAAATTAGTCTGCAAGCCTTTTGGGCTATCACCAGCTTGTGATGCATTACCATTGTAACCAAATAGCGAAATCAACATAAACAAGAACATTATAAAGGTACATGGAGTGTAGTATCAAAATTAGGAAAGAAGTCAAATATGGGAAACTATTTAACTTTTTGCACAAGTCTAAGACTCAGATTCCAAAAAAAAAACCCAGAAAAACAAAAAAAACAACTTAACTTGTTAGCTAAAGCAGCTCCATAGGGAAAAGTAACCAAGTAAAACTCTGCTTGAAAAACATTAAATGCGTTCATCTGATTGGACAAACAAAAATGTTGAAAGGAAAAGTTCTTTCTTTCTGTTTCATTTTTGGAAAAGGAACGTGAAGATGGATGAACTAGTTGGAAGGAAACAATCAGTGTATTTTATTTTTGTTCTTGAGATACGAAGAGACGAGATATTGAATAAAAACTACAAGCATACCAACAGATTAAAGTCATTGACTGATCTTGGCCTAACTGCAGGAAATTTGGATGGCTAGATCTAAGAAAATTTGTCATAACTTACCTGGTTCAAGTTAGAGATTTCCTTGGGCAACTCTAAGAAAACAACATTGTTTGCTGCTGTCAAGGTAAGTCCAATGCCTCCAGCTAATATTCCAATTATAGCAATCTTAACCTGTATGAAATGGAATAAAAAGTGTATGATACAGCAAGCACATGGGCCTTTAGGTCTATAGACAGACGCAGGTAACCAGTGCATTTAAGTCAAAAACTAAGCCAGCAATAACGTGAAGCACAAGCTCCAGCAGCACTACTCAGATCAAAGAATCTGAAAAATAGTGGCTTTCAGCATTACAAAGAACTGGCAGAAGCAATAAAATGTGACAACTTTGTCAATACATGTTGAACCCTCCAAATGGCACACATAAAACAACAAAAAGTTGGGCAAGCAATATTGACCTGTTTTGATGTTTGAAAGGATTGAACAGCTTCCTTCCTGTCAATAGATGATACATGTGCATCAATTCGAATATATTCCACGCCTTTCTCCAATAGAAACTCCTGCAATTTGCATAGCTCGAAAATGAAATATGAGCTATATATACTGGATTACTAAAAGCCTTAAAAACATGAAATACCCATACAGTGCCTCTTGAATCCATACAAGAAGCTTGGGCAGTAAACAAGAAATTCTAAGGGTCTCTAACCATCAAACTAGTGGACCGCCTCCAAGATCAAGAATGTCACAGTTGCAATCCTGTGCTTTAACTGTATAATGACCATGGATCTTTAATATTTCTATTGCTGCTTTTATAACTATTATTGTTGAGATCTAGAATATCTTTTTCTATGTATATCCCATGATTTCTGCTCTATTTTAGGATAGAATAATTTACTCCTAATGTATTTTAGGATAGAATAAATTAGCTCCTAATTTTTAGGAAATTACAGATTTCATGGAATTGACAAAAGTCAAATTCCATTTGTATAAATGTTGTACAGAGTCTGGAACAAAAGATATGACAGAACAATTCAGTTCTTCTTTTTGTTCATGGTATCAGAGCTTTTGCTCTTGGGACCTCTTCTTGTCAGCCTTCATTGCTGAGAACTTTCCTTTTTTTCAAGTCTTATTGCCAAGTGCAATTTCCAGCCTTCATTGCTGATTTTTTCCATTAGGGCTTCATTGCCAATTTTTCTTTGAAACCTCCACCATGTCTGAAACTGAAACATCAGAAATCCACTCCAATACCAAATCAGAGGAGACCTCAAATATTCCACAAACAGGGGATTTGCAGAGTATCCAGGCAGCCTACAGGCTCAACGGGAAAAACTATTTGAAGTGGTCACAATTTGTTCAAACATTTCTCAAAGGAAAGGGCAAAATCAGCCACTTGCTTGGAACTGGACCGAAAAAGGGAGATCCTAAATTCGCTGCTTGGGATGAAGAGGATTCTATGGTCATGTCATGGCTGTGGAATTCCATGTTACCTGAAATAAGCGATACTTGCATGTTCCTACCAACAGCTCAAGATATATGGACTACTATTCGACAGACCTATTCAAAGGCAGGAGATGCTGCCCTAATCTATGAGATCAAAACAAAGATCTCAGCCACTAAACAGGGCAACCTTTCTGTTACTCAATATGCCAACCTTCTGCAAAATCTATGGCAGGAACTGGACCAATATCGGCGTGTTCAGATGGTGTGTAGTGAAGATGCAGCCACCTTGAAAAGCTTTATCGAAAAGGATAGAGTTTATGACTTCCTTGCAGGTCTGAATGTGGAATTTGATCAGGTCAGAATCCAGATATTGGGGAAGGAAAGATTATCATCTCTGAATGAGACAATATCATTGATTCGAGCTGAAGAGAACAGGCGAGAAGTCATGTTAGAGCCTAAAACATTAGAAGGCTCTGCAATGATTTCTACAAAGTCAAATAAAGACACAATTTGGTGCACGTACTGCAAAAAATCAAGCCATACGCGAGATGATTGCTTCAAACTCCATGGGAAGGAACAAGTCCTTAGTCGTAAAGGAGGATTCAAAGGGCGAAAAGCCCACTTAACTGCTGGAGAAGACCAAACACAAGAAAAATCCAACCAGGCTGGTATGGGAGAATTCAAGAAAGAAGAAATCGAAAAGCTAAGAAACCTCCTAAATTCCCTTGAAAAGTCCTCTAGTACGTGTTCATTGGCTCAATCAGGTAAGTACCTTAACTCTTATGCTTTAAGTGCCTCAAGCATGTCTTCTCTAGGCTCTTGGGTCATCGACTCAGGAGCTACTGATCATATGACTCACAGCCCAATCAGATTTAGAACATACAACCCATGTCCTGGAAATAGAAAAATTACTGTTGCGGATGGATCTCCTATAACTGTTGCAGGCCAAGGGACAGTAAATCTATCAAATTCTTTGTCCCTAAATAATGTGTTGCATGTCCCAAAATTGTCCTCCAATCTCATATCCATCCATCAAATTACCAAAGATCTGAACTGTAGAGTAATTTTCTATACTACTCACTGTGTTTTTCAGGATTTGGTTACGGTGAGGACGATTGGACTTGCTAAGGTGAATGATGGGCTTTATTACCTTGAGGAGATGAGTGGCAACAAGAAGAACAAAAATCAGTTATCCCTCACCTGCTCCTCAAATAATAAATCTGAAATTTGGCTTCATCATTTCCGTCTTGGTCATCCATCTTTTATTCTACTTAAAAGCATGTTTCCTTCACTTTTCAAGAATGAAGATGTTAGTAGTTTTCATTGTGATACATGTGAAATTGCTAATCATCATAGACTATCATTTCCATTGAGTAATACAAGATCTACGAGACCTTTCTCTTTGATACATACTGATATTTGGGGGCCTTGTAGAATTTCTAGTATTTCTGGAGCAAAATGGTTTGTCACATTCATTGATGATTGTACTAGAACTACTTGGTTATTTCTTATGAAAGAAAAATCAGAAGTAAGCAGTATTTTTCCAATGTTTCATAAAATGATTTGTACACAATTTGGAAGTCTGATTAAAAGAGTAAGATCTGATAATGCAAGAGACTATTTTAATCAAATTCTCTCATCTTTTTTCCAAAAAGAGGGTATAATACATGAGTCATCTTGTGTAGATACACCCCAACAAAATGGGATTGCTGAACGAAAAAATAGACATTTACTCAATGTGACTCGAGCAATTTTGTTTCAACATAAAGTTCCAAAAACTTTTTGGGGGGAGGCTGTTTTAACTGCTGCACATTTGATAAATAGAGTACCTTCAAAAGTACTAAATAATCAAAGTCCCATTGCTGCTCTTTCTGTTTTTTACCATGATTTTAATGTCTCTTGCACATTGTCACCAAAAGTGTTTGGTTGTATTGCTTTTGTACATGTTCATGCACACCAAAGAGGGAAACTTGATCCAAGAGCTTTAAAATGTATTTTTGTGGGATACTCAAACACAAAGAAAGGATATAAGTGTTATCATCCTCCTTCAAAAAAAATTTTTACCTCCATGGATGTCACATTTGTTGAAAATGAACCTTATTCTCAAAGTAACAATCCTCATCCCCAGGGGGAGAGTTCTTGGGAAGATAAGGAATTTCTCCTTGATCTTCAAAGTCCTACACTAAACTTAAAGTCTTTCAAGCCTGACCATACACCAAATTCTAAAGGAGAACATACTAGCAGTGAACCTGAACCTGAATTTGAAGTTGAACATGCCAGTAAAGAAATTGAACCTGATCTTGCAGCTGAGGGAAAATCTGGTTTAAATCCAACTACACCACTCAAGGTCTACTCAAGGAAGAAAGTTCATATTTCTGAACCTGTGCAAATCCAAGAATCTGAACCACAATCAGGTACTGAAAATTCTGTTCCTTTGTGTGTTCAATCTGACTCTGCTCCTTGTGAATTTATTGATTTAGACCTGCCTATTGCTGTTCGAAAAGGAACACGAGAATGCACTAAGCACCCAATCTCAAATTTCGTGTCTTTCCATAGACTCTCTCCACAACATAAAACTTTCCTTACCACCATCAACTCCATTTCAATCCCACAAACACTACAAGAGGCACTTAGAAATAAGAACTGGTTACATGCTATGAAAGAGGAAATGAATGCCCTAGAGAGAAATAAGACTTGGGAAATTGTAAACCTGCCCAAAGGAAAGAAAACAGTGGGGTGTAAATGGGTGTTTACTTTGAAATATAGAGCTGATGGTTCATTAGAAAGGCATAAAGCTCGGTTGGTTGCAAAAGGATATACACAGACATATGGGATAGATTACCAAGAGACCTTTGCACCCGTTGCAAAAATGAATACTGTGCGTGTTCTTTTGTCTTTAGCCGCTAACTTTGGTTGGTGTTTACAGCAATTTGATGTTAAGAATGCATTCTTACATGGGGATTTAGAAGAAGAGGTGTACATGGAACCCCCACCGGGTTTCAATGAAATGTTTTTTAAAAAGAAAGTGTGCAGGTTAAAGAAAGCATTATATGGATTAAAACAATCGCCAAGGGCTTGGTTCGGAAGATTTACTAAAGTGATGCTAGCAATGCAATACAAACAAAGTCAAGGAGATCATACTTTGTTCATAAAATATTCAAAAGGAGGTGTTACAGCTCTACTTGTATATGTAGATGACATCATCATTACCGGGGATGATCCAATTGAAAGAGAAACACTCAAAAAGTGCTTAGCAAAGGAGTTTGAAATTAAAGAACTAGGGAGGCTGAAGTATTTTTTAGGCATTGAGGTGGCATACTCAAGTAAAGGCATCTTTGTTTCCCAACAAAAGTATGTCTTAGACTTGCTTAAAGAAACAGGCAATCTTGGATGCAAGGCAGCAAGTACACCCATTGAGCCTAACTTGAGATTGAATGAAGAGAAGGATGATAGCACAGTAGATAAGGGAAGATATCAGCGGTTGGTTGGGAAACTGATATACTTGTCCCATACAAGGCCGGACATAGCATTTGCTGTAAGTGTAGTAAGCCAATTTATGCATGATCCAAGAGAGAAACACTTGCAGGCTGTCAATAGAATTCTATCCTACCTCAAAGGGACACCAGGTAGAGGAATTTTGTTCAAGAAAAATGAAGGATTGCTCATAGAGGCATATACTGATGCTGATTATGCAGGTTCTGTTGTAGATCGTAGATCAACTTCAGGATATTGTACATTTCTTGGTGGGAACCTAGTGACATGGCGGAGTAAGAAGCAATCGGTTGTTGCAAGATCAAGTGCGGAAGCAGAGTTTAGAGCTATGGCTCATGGAGTTTGTGAATTGCTATGGCTCAAAATAATACTTGATGATCTTAAAATCAAGTGGGAAGGACCTATGAAACTCTATTGCGACAACAAGTCTGCCATCAACATTGCACACAATCCAGTGCAACATGATCGCACAAAGCACATCGAAGTTGATAGACATTTTATTAAAGAAAAGCTGGACAGTGGCATGATTTGCACTCCATATGTAGCATCAAATAATCAATTGGCAGATGTCTTAACTAAGGGAATGCCAACTTCCAACTTTGAAGACATTACATGCAAGATGGGAATGGAAAATATCTATTCACCATCTTGAGGGGGAGTGTTGAGATCTAGAATATCTTTTTCTATGTATATCCCATGATTTCTGCTATATCCCATGATTTCTGCTCTATTTTAGGATAGAATAATTTACTCCTAATGTATTTTAGGATAGAATAAATTAGCTCCTAATTTTTAGGAAATTACAGATTTCATGGAATTGACAAAAGTCAAATTCCATTTGTATAAATGTTGTACAGAGTCTGGAACAAAAGATATGACAGAACAATTCAGTTCTTCTTTTTGTTCAATTATCATATCCAATTGTTATATTAAGTGCCCCCCCCCCTCTCTTCGATACCATTTTCACGGGGAGAATATCTAATATGACTTTCCAAAGCAACATTTGCATTGGACACGCTTAGCTGACCACTACCATCAACCATTCAGTTGTGAAATTACCCAAGACGGTCCATTTCAATATGCAATGGAACGACATTAAAAGATGTCCTTGTAGGTCACCAGTCCCTAACTTCCTTGTTTTGTTACTTGAAGGAGCCTTATTTGGAACTAAAAGTTTTAAAGGTTTTTGTCACTTAGCCAAAAAAGTACTGCTCAAAGACATTGTCTTTTCCAAGAGTAAATCACATTTTACCAAATCGTTTTTGGCATACAAGGAGCAGTGAAACAAAGAAACACATTATGAAGTAATTAACTATGGTTCTGTTGAAATCTAGTAAGGTTCATCCTTAACTATTCTTGAAGCTACCATAAACTGCTAGACCATGATTCTTGTCTTCATCGTAAAGCTGACAGAAGTTTACAAAACACTAAAATAGCATAAATAGACAATTTAATAGAACACTTCTACCCTCAAATACTATAGAAGGCGCCGTCCAATTAATTCTCAATATGAATTTGAAGTTTCTCAAAGCACATCTTTAAATTGCTGCAGAGATAGGAATTTTGTTATGAATTCTGATGAAATAAATATCTATTGTTACACAAAGCACCCAAAGCAAATTGTCATGTGACTCGCATGTGTGTTTCACAGAAATCAAAATCTAGAAATTGCCAGAACCTAAAACTGGACAGAAACAGCAAGATCATAAGCAGAAGCAAGTCACAATCAGATCCATAAAGAGAATACAGAAGACAAATGTAAATCATTCAATCTGTACAAAGGAAAAGTAACTGACCTGTATTCTGTCACACACAATATGGTGATGAGCAAATATTATCATTTTTTGTGAACTGAAACTAGCTTCTGTAACTTCCTCACCATCAAACCCTGAAAGCATTGGATGTATAGAGAGCCACTCAAGGAATCCCGACAGTTTCGCTAGACCCAGTATTTGGTCCTCCTTTTTCATCATGTCTCGAATGTTGCTTTTATCTGAAAATATTTAGAATAGGGACCCAATCTCAACATTTAATAACCAACACGTTTGAAGTGCAACGTTTGTCAGATGCTTCTCCAAGGGAGTAGAACTGATCTAATGATCTTTGAGAATATCATTTACTTGGAATTCCAAGCCAACAATCATAATGCATGTCCATGGATATGCAGCTCTTAAGGATGCTATGATGCAGTGCAGTTAGTTGATTCCTACATTTGTGAGTCACAGGCACTCAGAGAATTTCGACCTCCTGAACAATTTTAAGACTCAGAGTCTTAGCAACATATGGAACAGCATTCTAAACTATTGACAATTTATGTATCTAGTTATAAACTAAGCTCCACTCTGACTTTTAAATGATGCTGTCTTATGAACGCCCGACACCAAAAGTTACAGATAAACCTTGCAAGATATCGCAGAGCTTTATTTTTTATCAAGGGGTCAAGCAATGTACTGCTTAACAGAGATGCAGGATTTCAACAACTAGCCTATTAAGCGATAAAGACAGCAGCAGTTAAGTATTTGTCAACAAACGAGAAAGATCCATGTATAAGATGATTTACTAGAATAGACACTTGGCTTATAAAGAGTAATGCAACCAATGCCTTCTCATCTTGTTTTAAAGAGAATTTGATGAGACAAACCTTTATTTAAACTAGCTTAGGTTTATTTGCTACTCCAGATGCTAGCTTCTGAAAACCTTTCATGGTGCAGCATAAATATTTATTGCACCTTGATTCACATTCAATAACTACTAACAAAATAAAAGACACAACTGAACCTTGACTAAGTTCAGAAAGTTTATCTTCAGTATCATCTGCAGAAGTGTCACTATCGAGCACACCAAGTGCAGCAACGAAAGAAGTAAAATCTGATTTTGCTAAAACCAATCCAAGAGCAGCCATGGCAGAAGCAATATCAGTTCTCCTCAAAACTAATCTCATTATTTTCCGGCGTATGGGTGGTAGCTGTGCCAGCACATGCTGCTTCAAACGCCTTATCTGCAGCATGCAAATGAAGGATAATAATCGCTTGTCCTTACAGAAAATCAGAGCAGAGACACCTTTGAAGCATGTTACAAAAAATATTCCAACCCTTAGTGCAAAAGTAACTTATATTCTAGTCAGAAGGTAAAAAGATATGAGAGGCATCAATACTGACAATGTACAGAGTAACAAAGAAAGTTATTGATTTTGGCCCTTCTTTTTCCTGCTTCTAAAATATGTGACACCAAATGTTCAGAAGTTTCTTCAATTGCAATTGATTAATTGATTAAATTAATGCTATTTTGCAGAAGAAATTGTTGCGTAAACTGGAAAGTTTGAGTGTTGAAACTCCAATTCTAGTGGTGACAATTGGTATCACTGTTACAGGGTTTCAAGACTCAGAATGTGAGTCTCCACCAATGGAGATTATGCTCCACATTTACTCCCAGAAGAGAATACAACCTTAAAATCTTTCTTTCAGCCGACTAGAACAATAGATTAATCTTGCAGCTTTTAAGACATACAGGAAAACAACAAATGTCATGCACATCAGAATATAGTCCATGCTAAACCATACCATGACAGTTTGCCTTAAGAGAACATTTAACTCCTCCAAACGTATGCCCTTTGAGAAATCCTGAAAGATTGAGCAATTTATTACAGGCAAATCATTTTCTGTGCATTAATCATGCAAGACTTAAAAATCTCAGAACATAAAACATCAGGATGTTAAATACCATGTATTATCATGTTTGTTCATTGTACTAGAGGTTTTGTTGTAGCATAGGATGCACTATAAACCACAGGTGGCTAAATAACCTAAACATCTTTTTAGTAATTGTCTTTTTTCATTTGGCAGAAATTGTATAAGTAATACAAATGAGAAAGAAAAATGACGCAAGCCCCTTTTCTGAAAGCACAGTCGAGAAAAGGTCAGTGACAGCACAAGGACAGTTGAAATCATGTTTACTTCAAAGAGAACATGATTTTTATATTACCCGACAACAAAAGATAAAAAGATAATTTATTATGATATGCATGCTCAACAGTGGAGTGCAACCATCTAAATGCTTCTTTCTTTTCCAGGGAGGAGGTGATGGGGAGTGGGGAAGGATGATGGAGTTGGTGATAATATGTTAACATATAATAGATTTATGCTATGAATAATTGAAAATCAAAGTTTTATAACTTGGTTAATAAAATTTAACCTAGTTGTGAAGGGTTATCTACTCCAGTAGTTTCACCAGATAAATAGCAGAAGTTATAATCCTTTAAGTGAATTTCAAACCGCATCCGATTAGACAACATTTTGGAATTGTGCAATCTAACAATCATCAAGGGAACATCCAAAACCCAAGAATACAAGGGAACATCAAGAACTTTGTAAAACCCGCCTTTAAATCTGGGCTCAAAATGCCCTAGGACTAGAATATAAGCATCATTTCATATTCCCTTTTACCAATGAAGTAAAATATGTTAGTCACTGACAAAGTAAAAGTATTTCCACTCCAAAGACCAAAAAAACTACCTGAAAAACCTTCCCTTGACAACCATTAACAAGTTTAACTGAGCAGTATGTCTTTGCAAAATCATATTTGGTCTCCCCAAGCAAGCCCGGCCTAGGAAAAGGATGCACAACCAAAGATATTAAAAGAGCTTAAACAGAATAATCAGAAGTCTAATACTCTAAGAGAATGGGAGACTTACCATAACATATTTATCTGATGAAAAATGTCGAATGGCCTATTATCACCTAGGAACATATGCACAGGTGAAAAGGGAATCCAATTGGCATGATACACATAATCAAAGACAACAGTAGGCAAGATATCCTAATGTAGGTTTCAAGTATATCGACACATCCATTAACAAGTAATGGAAATTCGAAATTTTGACATAGTAAAAAGACAAATGTCAAACAGTTCCATCACAACCTTGATAAGGAGGGAGTCCCAGATAGTAGGATTAAATGCCTGACCTTCATTGCCACATCAAGCACAGATTTTATCTATCAAATAAGGAAGAAATTGGAGTTGATTAGATGACTCACAGGATGCCATGCAACAAAAAACAAACTTCTTGGATTTGGATTAGTAACAGAATTAAAGCGCTATTATGCAATTCAATCAGACCAGCACCCACAAAGAATTTCTTTCAAATGTATAATATGCATTGCCAAGCATGGACAGTCATAGCAGGAATGCCATAAAATGTCTGGAACTCAAGATAAATCTGAAGAGAAGCATTATCATTTAACTACTGTATCATATTTTGGGCGCAATCATGAATTGAACAGCCTAAAGTGTTTATCCTCCAACTTAATTAAATTCTTGCTTTGCATGGGCTGCCCATCTGATGAGTCAACGAAGATTGTTTAAAGGTAAACAATGGAAGAAGGAAATAAAACTTTAGACATCCTAAAGAAATGCCAAAATGCACACCAAGCTTCATATAGGCATATTACCAACTTGATTCAATTGCGTACTATCCCAACAGAAAGATTAACCAAAATTCAAAAATACAAAGAAAATAAAAACTTTTCACCAATTCCCATACAACAAATGCTTCATAGCATCTATGACTCCTAAAGGTCATCTTTTACTAGTGAACAAATACGGTTAGTTCTTTCACGAAGAGAAAGTCAACAATGTGATCAACTATTCTTGCTAACAAGTAACAACCGTGTCACGTGGTCAAGTTCCAACTAGTCCTAGTTTCTAAGTTTGATAAGCATTGACCTTTTTCAGGAAGTCTCCTACGCCATTCATTAGAAAGGAAAACATATATTTGCATTTAAAAGAGGAGCAAGCATCATTTATGGAAATTTTGATGTACAAGCAGTGGTACAAACTTTAGTAATTGGGCATTCTTGGTCATGTCAAGTAGTAATATGAGTCCAATGATTACATCATCTTTCAATGATGAATAGACAAAGAAAAGGCTCGCATCACCAGATTGTTGATGGAAATTTCCTTATTGCTACTTTTTTCCTTGTCTTTTAAGGTGCTGTAGGGGGAATGTGTTTACGCTATTCTTCCAAATTTTACTCCAGCAGTTCAAGTGTAATATGAAGTGGTCTATACTTAAAAGAGTCCCATACCTCTTCTGGTTCTGATCTCTTCTTTGTACAACGTAGATGATGTGACTCATCAACAATCAGAGTAGCCCACTCTTGTTGCAACATGCTCCTCCACAAATGATGAAGCATTTTGTATGAAATGACCACTACCTTGGGACATTTAGCTAAACGTGTAGGATTATCTTGATGGCAAAAAACTGAAGAGAAAATTATGAATTAGGCCATAAAAGATGTGGGAGTATGACAGGAACACAATTTGCGTGCAGGATAGCACTTAAAGAGAGAAGTTGATTTAAAAAGTTTTCATGCTATAAGCCGAGCTTAGACAAAATTTAAACAGCAAAGAAGAAAGAAAAGGTTACAAATTACAGTTTCTACATCTGAACATGACAATCAAAAACTAGCTTTTGGAAGGGATGTCAGAAAAGGATGAGAGAATTTAAGTTTCAATTTCAAGAGGTAGATAATAACAGTTCATCAGTTTTTAGCTTAATGATCAGGTAGCTTTTGTTAGATCTGAATCCAGTCTGGACCATAACAACCATTTTTTTGGCCCCCTGAAATATAATAATCCAGGTCCTTCAAATACATAACCTAATGAATACCAACGAACTAGTGTGCCAGCCTGCTATTTGAAGTAACAAGCAAATAACCAATATAACTTGCTTATTTTTGACTGAGCTCACAAAAGAGGGTACACTATCAGAAAGTTTCAAAATGGCTTACCTACGCAAAAAAAAGTTCCAAAATAACTTGAGTAGTTACCAAAATATTTAGGTTTGGCCAAAAGGATAGGATGAAATTATTGCTACCATATCAGGATCCATATAGTTCTTGGTTCACGAAGCATAAACTGCAAGGTATACCCATCCAACCAATTGCCCTTATTATGTAAAGCAACACATAGTACAAACAACAAAGAAACTTCTCTGCAAGATGGTCGAGAAGAACTATACAACAACACAAATGGAAGATGATAGATGGACGGATTTTTTTATCCAAGCATCCTACGTCAGAACAAGAAAAGTAGTACATTGGAATTAGTGACATAGGAAAGAGATGATAGAGACAAATGGTAGCAGTCAACTAAAGATTATGACAGGCAAAGCATGCACACTTGATATACAAGCTTTGATATGGCATGCCTTGGAAGACAAGCAGCCTGTTGGAGTTGAATTAAGAATCCTTTTTAGCTAATTTAACTAGGCAGTTAACTATAGGAGTTTTTTAGCTAATTTGAATACACATATTGGTGATTACTACCTTCAGTATTTGTCTATGGAATGCATTTCTGATTCGGATTTAATGTTGCGTTAGGAAAGGAATCTTATTCCTACTCTAAATAAGGGATAAGTCTTAGTCCAAATAGGATTTGGTTTAGGAGTCTATAGATAACGTATTTTCTTTCAAGAGAGGACAGGTTTGAGTTAATGAAACTTCTTTCAGACTTTGTTGTCTTCTTAAGGATTGTCAGATGCAATCTTGTTTTGGAGGTGATGCCTAAAGGTATTGTTAAGAGAATATAAGTATTCTTGTAGATAATAAATTAATAAGGGTATTCTTGTAAATAGTTTGTTAGGTTTGTACTCCTATAAATACTAGGTGGTCACTCATAATACGGTGACTAGATGTTTTCCTCCCAAATACCTATTGTCATGGTATCAGAACAAAAGTCCTAGGGTTAGGGTTAAACATCTAGCAAAAGTTCTGTTCAGTTTACGCGATACTGTTCATCGCGACTGTTTTACGTGGCACTGTTCATAGCGCACTGTTCACGCGGCGCTGTTCATCTCGAGTTTTGACCCTTTCTTTGGTTTGACGTGCTATTCGCTATGGTTGAAAGGTTTGTTAATGCAGTTACCACTGACCAAGTTGAATCGAGTTCTTCAGTACATGGGTTCCAGAAGACTGTTACTATATCCGAGGAAGATTATATTAAATTCCTACAGTACCAAGTTACTAATCACGCATCTTTTCCCTCTGCTTCTTTAGCACAAAAAGGTAATGACTCATGGATTATTGACTCCGGGGCTACTGATCATATGTCAACTACCTCTAAAAATTTTTCTAATTTTCAAGAGTCTACTTCCTTTCCTCATGTTACTTTAGCTGATTAAAGTTAAAGGACTAGGCACTGTAGAAATTAATCCATCTCTTCCGCTGTCTTCTGTTCTTTACGTACCTAATTTGCCCTTTAATCAATGTCTGTTAGTAAGCTCACTAAATTTCTACAGTGTTCAGTTACTTTTTCTCCTGATTCTGTTGTCATTCAGGATTTGAAAACAAAGAGGACGATTGATGGAGGGCATGAGCATAATGGTCTTTATTTTCTCAACACTAATAGTCCGATTGCATGTCCTGCTACTGTTTCTCCTCTTGAAATTCACTGTCGTTTGGGTCATCCGTCTCTACAAAATTTGAAAAAGTTGGTTCCTACTTTGAGTCAGTTGTCTTCGTTAGAATGTGAGTCTTGTCAGTTTGGGAAACATCATCGTGTTTCTTTTGCTCCTAGAGTCAATAAACGAGTTTTTGAACCCTTTTTGTTAGTTCATTCTGATGTTTGGAGTTCTAGTCGAGTCACTTCAAAGTTAGGTTTTAAATATTTTGTAATCTTTGTTGATGATTTTTCAAGAGTTACATGGTTTTATTTAATGAAAGATCGTTTAGAATTATATTCCATTTTTTGTGCATTTGTTACAGAAATAAAGAATCAATTTGGTGTGCCTGTACGTATACTTCGCAGTGATAATGCGAAAGAATATTTTTCCACTCCTTTTAATACCTTTATGATTAAATTTGGTATTATTCATCAGTCCTCTTGTCCTCACACTCCACAACAGAATGGAGTTGCTGAAAGAAAAATTGGACATTTAATCGAAATTGCTCTAACACTGTTGTTGCACATGATGTGCCCAAACAATTTTGGAGTGATGCAATTCTAACTGCATGTTATTTAATTAATCGCATGCCATCTAATATTCTTGGAGGTCAATTACCTCACTCCATTCTTTTTCCTCATGAACCTGTGTTTAAATTACCTCCTTGTATTTTTGGATGTGTGTGCTTTGTTCATTAGCTTGCTCCCGGGGTAGATAAATTACATCCTCGTGCTATTAAATGTATTTTCTTAGGATACGCACGAGCGCAAAAAGGGTATAGATGTTACAGTCTAGTTTTAAATCGATTTTTTACTTGTGTTGATGTTACTTTCTTTGAATCCACTCCATATTTTATCAAACACGGTATGCCTTGTGAGTTACACCAGTGTCCCTCTTTTTCCTCTCCTGTTTTACCAGTCCCTTCCTCTTTATTACCTGAGTTATCTAGTCCACCAGATTCAATAGCTCGATTATCTCGTCTTCATCTTCAAATTTATTCTCGTCATTCCATGGTTGAGAAAGTTCCTGATATGCCACGCACTTCACCAATTAACTCTCAATCTTCAAATCCAGGTATGACGCCGTCCTCTGAGTTAGATCTTCCTATTGCTTTACGCAAAAGTAAGAGGCATTGTACTTCTCATCCTATTTCTAATTTTGTTTTTTATTCTCGTCTCTCTATGTCATATTCTTCTTTTGTTACTTCCCTTGATTCTGTCTCCATTCCTAAGTCTATTACCTATGCTCTTAATCATCCTGGTTGGAGATTAGCTATGCAAGAAGAGATGTCTGCTTTGAAACAAAATGGTACTTGGGATCTTGTCCCTCTTCCTTCAGGTAAGCCTGTTGTTGGCTGTAAATAGATGTACACTATAAAGTGCAGCCTAATCGATCTATTGATAGATTGAAGGCTCGTCTGGTAGCTAGAGGATTTACTCAGGTGTATAGAGTAGACTACTTAGAAACATTTTTTCCTGTTGCAAAGATTACCTCAGTTTGTCTTCTTATCTCTTTGGCAGCAACTTACAATTGGCCATTGCATCAGTTGGATGTGAAAAATGCATTTCTGCATGGAGATTTGGAAGAAGAGGTATATATGAAACAACCTCCTAGATTTGTTGTTCAGGAGGAGAATTCGCGATTAGTTTGTCGTTTGAAAAATCCTTATATGGATTGAAACAGTCTCCGAGGGCCTGGTTTGGCCGGTTTAGTAGTATTGTCATGAAGTTCAGTCTGACAAGATGTGGAGTAGATCATTCTATATTTTATCGGCATTCTAATGTTGGTAAAATTTTATTAGTTGTTCATGTGGATGATATTGTGATTACACGTGATGATGTTGTGGGAATCCAGAAACTTAAATCCAATCTACAGGCAAACTTTCAGACAAAAGATTTAGGTCATCTACAGTATTTTCTGGATATTGAGGTAGTTCGGTCCAAATATGGGATTTATTTATGTCAAAGGAAATATGTACTCGATATGCTGAGTAAAGTTGGAATATTAGGTTGCCGACCTGTGGATACTCCTATGGATCCTAATGTGAAATTAGTAGGAGATCAAGATGCATTAATAGATGATCCTAGGCAATATCGAAGACTTGTGGGTAAATTAAATTATCTCACTGTAACGAGACCTGACATTTCGTTTGCAGTGAGTGTTGTGAGTCAATTTCTTGATACTCCTCGTACTAATCATTGGGATGCTGTTATACGGATTCTCAGGTATCTTAAGAGTGCTCCTGGAAAAGGGTTGCTGTATCAAAATTATGGACGCACTGATATTGAAGGATATAGTGATGCAGATTGGCCTGGTTCTGCCTCAGATCGAAGATCAACCACAGGATATTGTGTGTTTGTTGGTGGTAATTTAGTGTCGTGGAAGAGTAAGAAACAAACAGTTGTCTCCAGATCAAGTGCAGAATCTGAATACCGCGCTATGGCTCACACTGTGTGTGAGTTGGTTTGGTTGAAGAGCATGTTACTTGAAATTGGGTTTGAGCATAAACAGCCTATGAATTTAGTGTGTGATAATCAGGCGGCTGTTCATATTGCGTCTAATCCAGTGTTTCATGAAAGGACAAAACATATTGAAGTTGATTGTCATTTCATTCGAGAGAAATTGATTGACGGAGTCATCAAGACATCTCATGTACCGTCTATAGATCAATTGGCTGATTTGTTTACCAAGAGTTTAGGGGGTTCTAGAGTGAAATACATTTGTAACAAGTTGGGTGCTTATGATATATATGCTCCAACTTGAGGGGGAGTGTTAAGAGAATATAAGTATTCTTGTAGATAATAAATTAGTAAGGGTATTCTTGTAAATAGTTTGTTAGGTTTGTACTCCTATAAATACTAGTTGGTCACTCATAATACGGTGACTAGATGTTTTCCTCCCAAATACCTATTGTCAGGTATATAGTATAATTCCCAGAGTTTCCTCATTCATTCATATTCTCAATTTGAAGTCTACAGCAGTATTTCTTTATTTCAGGCCTTATTTTGTTTCCTGATCATTCTGCTGATATAACTGCAATTCTTAAGTCTCCTGAAATATCCTAAGGATCTGTTAGCCTACCAACAACATTGTGCTGCATCAAGTAATCTAAAGAGCCAAAACCAAGAAACTAACGTCTCAAAATTCCCACCAAGGATAGCATACAAGTATAGATCGTATGAGGAAAGGAATATGTATGCTGTACAGACAATTACAACTGTCACCAGTTTTTTTTTATTTTTTACATATGCTGTACAGACAATTACAACTGTCACCAGCTTTTTTTTTCTTTTTTTCTTCTAGTTAATGACTGAAGAAATTTTGTTAATGAGCAGAGATACGATGAAGAGGACAAGAAATTCTTAGGGAACACACAGTAAAAGAAACATAAGAACCACCTGCCAATCCCTCTGCAAATTTATTACCTTAAAAATATGATCAGCCCAAGGTGAAGAGAGGCAAATAACACTCAAAGTAAGTTCAAAGCAATAAAATGATCTTTAGCACTCCTACTATTCGCTCTTAAATTTCAGAAGAGAGCTACCCAAAATGTAAATAAACCTAGAAACACTTCCCTGGAATTTACCCATGCTGACTCTTACCAAAATAAAAAAGGCTAACTTGTATGGTATTCATCAGAATAATTGAGCGAACCCACACCTTAGGGAGAAAGGATGAACAAATATTCAAACTTTGTATCTGTTAAATACCGAAGGTAGAGGTCACTATTTGTCTAATTAGGACTTGCACACAGAACACTAATGTGCACAAAGGGCATTCTATGTCTTCATTCCAGCAACAAGTTAATGATATTAGCTAGCCCACTCCTAGCACACTCATCTAGTCTTCATCCATGAGAAAGTTTCTATTGAAAGCGAGAACTTGCTATCCACATCGGTTCTATCTACCCAAAGATATGGAGGACAATATCAGTCTCTATAAATGTGAAAAAGGCGATTTGATCAGAAGAAGCCAAAATCAATAACAAATCATGACCTAGAGTGTCTAACCTTGACCGTGGTGCAAATGAGTTACAAAGACTCAATAGGCGAATTGATTTGACATACCTATCTTTTAGCTTCCATGATTGTGCAAATTCAAGAATCAGCACCAAAGAATAAAATGAAAAGATGGGGGAAATATAAAAAAAAAAAAAAAAAAAAGCAAAGTAAATCAAGTTTTGGGGAAAAAAATGAGCTCCAAGCACTTGATCTACCCAAAAGCACATATATGAGATATCTCCAACCTTGCAATGCAAAAAAGAAGTAAAAAGGAATTTGAAAACTTTAAGATTACTGGGAAATGAACTTCAAAGACCTCATCCTTTTTGCTGGGACTTGTTCTATGTAAACTTGCGCATAAGCAAAACAACCACCAAAGGGAAATAGCCATAATGATCTGCCTTTGGACACCAAAAGGCCAAGGTCCAGACTCTCTCTAGATTAAGGTACGTTCATAATTTCTTAAAGCCAATCAACTATTTTGATTAGCTTTGCTCAACAGGGACATCTGCTATAGGAACAAAATGGATCAAGCTAATAAGACAACAATGATGTCATAGAATGTATCAGTCCATCCACCCTTCTAGACATTTTAATTGAGAGGATTGGAAACAAAAAATCCTCAATTAAATGGATTCAGTATGGTGATGGGAATTCTGCTTTCTTTCATTCTGCAGTACAGCAGAAATGAAATGCAAATTATACTGCTTGGATTAAGGAAGATTCTGGTGGTTGTTTGGATTACGTTTCTGATATAAAATCTTTGGCTGTTGATTATTTTCGATAGTTGTTTGTTGATCATAGAATAGTGGATAAATTTGATTAAAAAAAAAAAGGAAGTACCCTCTGGTAGTGCCAACACCGACAATGTAACGCTTACTCATGTTAAATTTAATAAGAAATCCTTCTCAAGAAAAAGATCATCTTCCAAATATCGAATCAATAGCACTTATGTTCAGACTACCATGATAAATTGCAAATATAAAACTTGAATCTCACTGAAGAAATTATAAGACAGTCAATTTAGAAACCCACAGATCTAGAAATTGTACCTAGATGAATATCAGAAGGCAAACAGAAAGGAAGCCAGCGCTCCAATTCTTCAGCCCATGAGTATCTCAAAATAGCTGGGCAGACGATAAGTATAGGACCTTCATTACTGAAGCAGCCTGCTATTGCAATAGCCTGAAAGCCAGAGTCAACAGTCAAATCAGGAAGAACATACTGTACAAGCATGGAATCATTAAACTGTACTGTTTGCTTTAATTGTCAAGGGATATACTCCATCTGGACCATTAAATGTTACCACAAATGTTTTGGCCACAATTATGTTTGGCAGCTTATGTACTTCCATTTATCATTTGAAATTGAGTTTGCCTAAACTATAATTAATATGAAGATATCTCCTGAAGCAATGCAATTTCGATAAAGTGGGCTTCCAAAATTGTTATTATCTATGAGAAGTTCCAAAGTAAAATTTTAACAAAATTATTGGGAAAAAGCATCTAACTTCATTTCTTATGCAAGAAAATGAATACTCAAATGAGAATGAACACCATGATACCCCTTGGTATACCATGCCTTCTGTTGCTTTTCCTTTTACTTTTCCCCACCCCCACGATTAGCACATCTTTAAAAGCCCTTTAGGTTTTAATCAGAAAGTTAAAAATCGAAGACAATTGCACATTTTCCTGGTAATTTAGATAATTTGTGGAAAATTAATGTTGTAGGCCAAACTGATTATCTTATAATGCAGCAAAAGTTCAATATGTTTCTCCCATTCATGTAACTAATCGCATTTCAACTCTTTGTTTTTGAGCTTTTTACTTATTGCGAAGTGATTTAGTGCCTTGAAATTTATAACCCAATGGTCACTTGTTTCAATAGTCTTTTCAACATGTGCAGGATCAATTTTCAAATTGAAAATAAAACTAACCAAATGAAAAAAAAATTGCCATATGAAAGTCCAGATTTCAATACAACATTTCAAATTCCATAGTAGTCAATGGTAATGCAGTTTTAAAATTATCAAGTGTTTATAAACAAAAATAATACAGGAACCAAAAATTTGTCCACTTAAAATGATCAATAAGTAGTAAAATAGCCTAAGCCAATTTACTTTACAGGTGCCATTGTTGATACTCATGCATAGACCTGGCAACCAAATATTATGCCCAAACAATCCATTTGGACGGGTGCATTTGAATTAAGGAAGCAATTTAAATGGATGGACTTTAAATGAACTCGTCAGAAGTCCATATTTAATTCAAACACATAGTTTGGGCAACTTGTAATCCAGTCACAAAAATAACAAAACAACCAGAAAACTCAGGGGTTAGGTGTAATTTTACATTTTCAGCCCCCAGCTTCCTTGCGCTAACTCTGATCTCAATCTCTCCAACAGGTGGTTGAGACCATAGAGACAATCAGCAATTCTCTCTCTCACACACACACAGAAACTCATACAAGAGTATGTGTACATTCAAACAACTAAATACAAGGTTATGTAATCCAGGATTTCTTATTTTTGGCACTTGATTGAAGGCAGCAATACACACTCATACAAGAATGTGGCTGGCACCATGGTGTATGTAGTAATCAGGTAATTGCTCTATAGAAACAAAAACAAGGATAGCTTAGGGAAGAGATCAAGTAGGAAGGATGGATTTCAAAAGGACATGTAATTTGGTTGAGTTTAGGATTCAACCAGTTTAACACTTCGAATTGATCCTACTTATAGGTCAGTTTTAAATCCACATTTTTCTTAAGGTATCCAAACAAGCTAGGAGATTAGTTTTGGAGATTTGATATCCAAATCCACCCAAACCCCTCAACTTGGACTCAGTCTTATAGTTTTTTAACGAGACTACAGGTATCATCTTAAGGCAGAACCGTGACTGGCAAAATTTAGACAATTGAAATTGTTCATCAGCAGGTAGATTACAGGAGTAAAACACAACAGTTTAACGAAATAGAGAGTTGGTTTCAACATAACCACACCGGAGAATAAGTGGAGATAAAATTTAAAATTTATCATCAGTGGCTTGTCAATGTATATTGTGTACGTACATCTATCAAACCCTGAGGTATAAGATGAGTTCTTCTAGTACCTACTTAAAAATTTATTTCTCTCATTGGCATTCTGTCCAAACAACTGAAACACTTGTCTGAAAGTTAAATCCCAACACTATTTGATCTTTTCCTTTAAACTATTAACCAATACTGACTTCAAATTAGATCCCTTTCCAACTAACACCATCTTGCCTATCCATCTATACCACCATTAAATCACACACATGATCACATCCACTCCTTCCCTCCCTCATAGACACGCTCATACACCTCATTCCAGCAGAACAGCAGTTCCACGCCAATTTAACTATTCCATTTCACTCTGTTGAATGGCTCCTCAACTCCAAGCAATATTAGCAACAGTAGTAAAGGAAGAATGATGGTGCAGAAAAGAAGATACAGTTATATAGCATTCCATGTTGTATCCAACTACCGAATGAATTATTTTTACCAACATGCCTATAGTTTCCGGTAATACAAAAACTGAGTTGTAATTTATTCTTCTAAACCAGCATTTGATGCAATCTCAATTAAGCTTGAATTTATTTGATAAAAGCATCAAGTTCTGTTTTTACATGGTTTGGCTACCTTTTTCTACCATTTCTTCAGTTATAGAATGGTACTAATTGAATATATTGTGTAAGCTATACAAAACTCGGGAACCAAAATTTTTGTGTAACCAAAACAAATCTTTGAGATTTTTCAGAGACCTCCAGACTCTCTATGCAGTATTTAAAATGAGAAACGATAGATTACAAGTGAAATGATATGCAGAAGAAAATCAAAGGACTTCTATTTTTGATGAGGATATTTTAGCTGTTCAATATATCATCTATCAAAAAGTGGTCTCTATCCCCGACCATTGACCCCCTGTAGCATGCTGATGGAATGAAAACTTGAGCTTCAAACAGTTAGTCTATTCATCATTTCTCCTGCATTCCCTTAGCATTGGACCTGTAGAATCAAAACTCAAAATTCAAAGCCTCCTTCCTTCGTTTCCTTTCCAGTTCTATCAAATACACCCCGCTATATATTAGTTTTTTCCACCAATATTAATGGGTATAGCAGGATTCTGAAACACTTCAAAGCCAATTGTAAAGCTTTTCAAAGTAACAGAATATATGGGTCAAGGGAAAATGAAATCAATGAGTAAAATTCAAGCCAGAGTCAGGACTACTTAAGTTAATAGGCTAGGCAATTCAGCCTGGATTTCAATTTATTTTCTATTGGGCATTTAGGTTTCACAAACTTTGAGTTGGTTGGTTCAGGTCGATCTCAAATGCTTCCAACTGCTTTGAATACCATCTAGGTTGCACTAAGTAAGATTCTGTGCCTCATTAATGCTGCTACTCGTAGGCTGTGTCTCCCTTCCATTGCTCTTCTGTATTTATCTTCTTCTTGTATTTCAATTAGGGGCCATCCTTCATGGCAGTTTAACTTGTTAGAGAGTGAAAGGTGGAAGGATGGGAAGCCGGACCGGTGTGTCTTTATGTTCTTAACACATGAAGAACAGCAAAATGGTGAAAAGGAATATCAGCCACAAGGAATTGTACTGCATGGTGAAGGTAACAGTCTTTCTGTAGAAAGAGGCTGCTGGAAAACACTTTCGAAGAAAACAAAGCATACCAAGTACCTGATTCAGCCATTCTTAAACTGATCCCAAAACTCCTCATAGGAGGTCCTATCTATATGTCCCATCTATATACTTTGATATTACACATAAATGGCAACAATTTTTTGCTTATCAAACTAATTATATGTCATTGAGGGTACATATTCCCAGTTTCATTGTTACCTGTAGAGTTTTACCAAGTCCCATCTCATCTGCTATTAGACATCGCCCTCCCCTCCTTAAGCCAAATTGAACACCTTCAACTTGAAAAGGCAGTAGCGCGTCAAGCAACTTTTTGGGGAGGTTCCTGATCAATTCATTAACCTTCTCATCAGTAAGAAATTCAGGCCTATGAGGTATCCATTTGCCAGCGCTATAGGAATGTAACATTGTTTCAATCACATTAAAAGTTCCCCAAGGTATCTCTTCACATTCAACGCCTTCACAGTTCTTCAACAACTTCAAGATTGATTCATACTCCCCAAGGCTATATTTGCAGGCCCTTCCACCTTCATTGTTCTGGGTATAGTGGGGTGGTACAACCTGATTGCAATCAAATAAAATGAATCAACTCTATTTGCACATTTCTCTGCATTCAATATGGGGAGAAAAACAAAAGAAATATAAACATGATATGTCATTTATTTAAACAAAAAGCTGCGATCAAATTGGAATAAACGATAAGGGTTAACCCAGAAGCTTTAGTTGTATTATAACAACTCGTATTGCACTTTTTTCGCATCATAATGATGGATAAATCTCTTCTGGTTGTTTTATCTCATGTTAAAACATAATTGCTCAGTCCCCGCTTTCCCTAGACAAAATATTTACATTTTTTTCCCTTTCACAGACAAATCCAAGAACAACTTACAACCAACTTTAGAAACCTTTTTTCGAATTTAGATGACTCTTATTCTACAATTTTTCAACTCACATTGCGCACATATGCAAACAAAAAAAAAAAGATGCACACAGAGGTGTTCTTGGTTCACTGCAAGATAAAATTTTTGTATACTAGAAAGCCAGTTGATTTTTTTTTTTTTAAATTGTCCACCAGAGGAAACATATTCTCCAGGAGAATAGGACCCTGGAAGCTAATGCAGAAGAAAAATATCCTCATTCGCCTTCAGAATTCCTTCAGCTACAATTTTCATCAAACACAAGTAACTCCTGCATTTGCGCAAGAACAAGAAAAACACCAGCAAGTAACAAAACGGCAAGAAGTCCTTCTTCCAACATCACATCAAACAAAACTAATTTCGCATCTATTCACACGAAAATCAAGAACAGCTCTTTCTACAAACACATTAAATACACATTCAATTGGGAAACAAAAAAGCTCAAAAATATATATATACATACATTAGATAGCCAATCACTCAGCTTCTCGAAGCAGGCTTCATCACCGGGATACGGAAACCCTGGAACCGTAAAAGGCGTGATGAAGAATGAATCAGGGGAGCAAATTTCAAGCCTAGCCCTAAATTTCTCAGTTGAAGGAGGGGAAATTAGTGGTTTTCGAAAATCAGAGCACTTTCGTCCAGATGATGAGAGTTTTTGGCACTTAAACAGCTTCCAAGCACTCTGAAATTGATTGGCGTTTGAATTATAGTTGGTGGTGGTGACAGCGGCGACGGTGGAGCTGGTGGTGGAGGTGGCGGCTAAAGCAGCGGCTTTCCGCTTGGCTAATGCGGCTCGACGGTTAGATTCGGCTCGCTGTTTTTGCGCTTCTGTGATTTCTTCTTCTCCTGATTCATCCATTTGAGGATTTTTATGTTCTTTTTTTCTTTTTTTTTCCCCGTTTTTCCTGTTCGATTTTGGAGGCTTGGTAGCTGGAACTAGGGAAGTAGGGAGGTTTTGAAATTGGGAAAGAAGAGGGAAAGAGGGAGGGTGGGATTGGGTGGGAGAACGAAACGGATGCACACGCACACGCACACGATTTTAAAAGCGGCAGCGGTGGGGACACTTTTAATAATGTCCCCTTTTCTAAGACTTATAGATATAACATAATTTTGCAGTTTACCCCCTAAACTATAATAATAGGCATTTTGCCCCCTTGAATGATATGTTTAGACAAATCTACCCTTTTCATTTTAAGCATTGTTATTTTTCTTTTTCCCTATCATTTTCTTTTTAAATTCTTCCTTTTTTTCTTTAAACATTGTTTAAATAAGTAGACTAGATTAGTCAAAATTTGTTTATTTCTTAATTTCGTATGTCAATATTTTATAAAAAAAAAAAATCTATGGAATACAAGATTTTTTTTCCAAATGTTGAAGTCAATGTCATTTAAGAAATTGAACTTTTCAAATATATAATAACAAAATAGGGAAATTGATTAATCAATTATTAGTAGTATCAATAACAAAAAAAAATGAACTATTATTGTTGTTTATTCTTATTTTTTATTTCACAACAAATAACAATTGCTAACATTTCTTTTTTATGTGATATATAATATGTTACTTTTATTATAAGTACTTGAGTAACTGTGAACTCTTAATTAGTTTATAGGTACTTAAATTGTTGAATTACTAGATTAATATACTTTACAATATAAGCTACATATATTTTGTAATAACAAAGAGTTTATGACAAATTATTAAGAATGAATTTAACAAATAAACAAATTTAAAAAGTAGTTTAAAAAATATTAAAATTTTTTATATAAGTCTTTTCACATCGGAGAGAGACATTGGCTAGTTCCACGAGAGAAGGAGAAAAAAAAGAAAATAAAAGGAAAAAATGAAAAAAGCTAATAGAGAGAAAAAAAGAAAGGATTTAAGATAGTAGGGGTAGTGTTGTCCAAACATATCATTCAATGGGGCAAAATGCCTATTATTATAATTTATGGGGTAAACTGCAATTGGGTATATTTTGGAAGTGTGTAGTTTTTTAGCAAGTTTGTATAAAACTAGTTTTTTAACAACTTTGGCTACAAGAATCCCAAAAAACTTCCAAAGTTTTTTACTTACACACTTCAAATATCTAATACACAAAAAATTTCCCTTCAACTTTTCTTCTTTTTCCTCCCTCACCCAACCCACCACGCCAGCCACTACCTCCACCACCTCTCCCGGCGCCGGTCACCTCAAAAGTTTTTTTTTTCTGTCCCTCTCCCTCACCCCCTCTCCTCCCCTCCCCTCTTCCCCTCTCCCTCCCCCGCCAAGGGGAAGAGGGGGTGGAAGGGGAGGGAAAGGGGAAGAGGGGAGGGGAGAAGGGGGAGAGAAAAAGCAAAAATAAAAATAAAAATCCATGGCCGGCCTTCCTCTGGCGTCGGAGTGAGAGGGGGAGGGGAGAGGAGAGGGAAAGGGGAGGAAAGGGGTGGCGGTGGAGGGAGAGGGAGGGGTGGCGGGGGAGAGGGGAGAGAGGAGGAAAGGGATGGTGGGCAGAAGGGGGTGGTGGGGGAGGGAGTGGAGGGGGCGGGCCGAGGGGGTGGCGGGGGAGGGAGAGGAGAAAAGCAAAAAAAAAAAAAAAAAGTTTGTATGTGTTTGCAGAGTTCGGGAAAGGGAACAGGGGAGGGGGAAGGGGAAGGGAGAGAGGAAAAGGAAAAAAAGAAAAAGGAAAAGAAAAAAAGTTTTTTCATCTTACAAAGTTTTTCTACAACTTCTACAGTGATCTACAGTAAAGTTTTATACAAACACCCAAAAAACTCACCTTCCAAACAGGCCCGAAATTGTTTGTGGGGGTTTTTTGCATTTAACCCATATATATATATATATATATATATATATATATATATATATATATATATATATATATATATATAGTAAAGTCGTATTCTCATTCTTATCGCTTTATACTTTCTCTTTCCTATGTGGCTTAATGACAGGGCAAGTGGTTTCAACACGCCCTATAAAATAACCTACGCTCTTCCATCTCTCTCTTCTTTTGCCTTTGTTCATTTATTCCATGATTTCCACCTTTTTTAAAAAAAATAACCTATGCTCTATATAGAGCTTATCTCTCTCTTTTCATAAGCACGAAATCAATTATCAATATCTATTTAAATTAAATTTCAAATATAAAACCGTCCTTATCATCCATGTATGACTTAGAAAACTGTTCTTAGCATTCTATCCTATATTTGCGGTTGATTATCATTCTATCATAATCATATATCTGCGGCCGCTTGCTCCTCTTTTGGTTTGTGAACTTCTAGGTATAACAACAAGGTATGACCCGTATAATTTCTTTAGCATGCATGCCTTTAGTAAAACTATTTTTTATTATCATCTTTTTATATTCTTATCAATATCTCTTTATATCCTTATCAATTCTTATTTCCTACCCAAAGTTACGTACTTTAAGTAACTTAAATTAAGATAAAACTACTTTTAATATCCTTATCAATATCTTTTATATCCTTATCAATTCTTATTTCCTACATAAGGTTACGTACTTTCAGCAACTTAAATTAAGATAAAACTACTTTTAATATTTTTATCAATATCTCTTTATATGCTTATCAATTCTTATGCCTACATATAGCCTCTTTATATGGTTAGGTATTTCCAGTGCAAGCGGTTGGCACATTAAAGCATCGATTTTGGGTTTTCACTCCTCTTGATTATCAGGTAAATCTTCCTTCAATACACATTTTTCTTTTTTAAAAAGACATGTTCATCTTCAATTGTAAGAATTTAGTAACATATCTTGAATTTTGTGTGTTTTGGTTTTATTTTCTATTTGTTTTGTTTGAAGAGATAGGATTTAAAATGGTATTTTCATCGTAAGTTTTCATGTAGAAACATGTTAGATGTTTCCACCGAATTGGACAACATTCATATGCTATAGGATGCATGTTAGATGTTTGTTAATTTGCCTTTGTTTCGTTTGTCCAAGGTACTGGACTTGTAGCTGGTGCTGTGGATCCTTGCTCAGTGCATACTTCAAGAGTTGAATTTGTTATTGTCTCCAGCCTTTTTTTCCCAACCACATGTAAGTCTGTTAGTTACTTTAGTTGAACTATCTATTCTATGTTTTCACTGCTGTTAAACATTCATATTATAAGCATTTGGCTTATGCCTCTTGAGTGATCATGAACTAAAAGGGGCAAATTTATTTTCATTCCTTTTGCGAAGACAAAATGTCTACTAAATTTTCATCTTGAATTGTGAATGATCATGGGTTTTGTTGCCCAGAATTGTAAATACAATTTGTAACTACAATCTGGAACAGTTTCATCTTGAATTGTTCAATTTTATGGAAGTAAATGCTATTGTTGATTATGTCCCATGTTGTTCTTAAATTTTTAATAATCAATTGACGAAGATATTTCTTCAGAAATTTTGTATCTTTAGCTATTATTGCTGTTAGTTACTTTAGTTGAACTATGTTTTCTATGTCTTCCACTGTTGTTAAATATTCATATTATAAGCATTTGGCCTATACCTCTTAAGTGATCATGAACTGAAATGGAAAAATTTATTCTAGTTCCTTTTGTGAAATTTATGTATGTCGGTGTTCAAGGGTCAACGTAACAAGATTTTCATGGGTATAATATATAGTCAACTAAGTCTACAAATACAATTTAATATAAAAGTATTACTCACTTTAATACATCAAATACCATAAATAGTCTAGCCAATTAAATGTACAATATTTTATTTTAGCATGAGGAGGTAGATTTAATATACTATTTTACTTTCTTAATCTATAATCTTTATGTATTGTCTTACACAACTTTGAATGTGCTAAATCATTTATTTTTTTTATACTTAGTTGTCCTGTTTTGCTATCATGCAGTGATAATGGAAAATCAATAAATGCTGATTTGCACGGATAAATGGAGGAGAATGTTCAAACAGAAGAAAAACAAAAAAAAAAGTTTCTGAAAAATAGAACATTATTTGATACTATTTACTGCACTTTTTATTTCTTCTCAAGTTTTTGAATGTTATGGTATTATCGAATGCTATATTTTTCATTTTTGAATTATTATTCACTGAATTAGATTTTCACATTTATATTATAAGAATACTTTATATTATGATGCACACATAGTAATATACTTAAAAAAGGTTATAATAGAATATACATTAAGTTTGTATTTCATATCGACATTTTTATAAAATTGACTAAATAGTTTATTATTTTTCGAAGATTCCCGTTCAACGAATGGGTACAAAACTAGTTGGCTTATAAATTTAACATTGTTTAGGCCTAATTTTCGTGCAAGTTCGACATGCTTGTTTCCTACCAAAAAAAAAAAGTTTGAGAGGTTTGTATTTGAGCAAATGGGATAAATGGTCGATTTCTTATTGTAGTAACTTAATTTTTTTTCCCAAAATGGTCACTGAAATAATAAATTATTAATTGTTTGACCACTCATCTAATAAGAACATGCATTTTTTTTTGTCATTTAACGAAATTGTGCATTTTTTTGTCAAAAATATATGTTATGATCAATTAAATGATTATTTTCCGTAAAGAATATACTTGTGACCAAAGTAGGGAATTTTACATAATTCAGTGACCATTTTGTGTTAATTTCTCTATTTTCTTCTCTATTTATCTTGTTGTGAATAAACTCAAGTAGGAAACCAGAACCAACCTAGGAATAAAATAAAGCTAATTAATAATATTAAATAGTTAAGCATAATAAAGAACTTACAGGAAATCAGAATAATCTTTGAAATGGAAGCTTTTAATTGTAGAGCCTTTGAGATGAAATCAAACTTCAATTCTTTATTCTTTCTTGAAGTAAGAGGTTTTCAGAGAGTTTCTTAGAACAGCTAAAACACTCGATGCCTCTTCTTCTGATTTTGAATTCTATTTATAGAGGCTTTTGTCTTCGAATTTCATCTTCATTTGGTTAGCAACACCTTTCATTTGAATTTCATTTGCTTTTTCTGCCGACACCTTATCTTCTTTTGATTGGTTGCT